AACTTACTTCGAACCGACCTATAGCGTTCAGTCGTACTTGCTGTGATATGTCTGATGGTGATATTCCAACATTTATTCTTTTGTCTTAGTAAACTTCCAATATCCCAGTCTAGCCATGAATGGACGTGCTTCTTCTTCTTCTTTGGAACTGTCCAGTGTACAAATGTTTCAGTTAGTTGGTTAATAAACTACTCAGTTCACAAACTAGAACAGCTTACATATTCAGCAGTGTATTTGTGGACGGTGATCATTGGTCATGTTACGTGTGTTCACAAACTGGAATGGATGGTCAGGGATGATGTGCTTCAAATGACAAATTTGCAGGCAATAATGATAATTAAATTCACTTAGAATTGTTTGTTTGAATCTTCCCATTGATGTTTAGGACTGCAACTGGTCAGTCTCTAATCGGCATATGTGCATACTGCCTCGATATGGCCTAAATTCACAAGCGTTATAAGCAAAGATGGATAGTGGCTAGCAGTGGAATCCAGGACGCGCATTTCGTTCTATTTGGAACCTGTCAGCTGGATGTACCTGCATCTCAGATTTGATGTTCACTCTGGGACTCGAACTCAGTAACTTTCGCTTCAAGCGCCATCGCGTTATCCATTTGGCCACTGAGTCTTGATAGCCACTTGCTTTTTCAATGGAGTGACGTTGAAATTCACTTAGTATTGTTTGTTAATCAATGATAATTGAGCAAATTGTAAGAATTTATGGAAAATGGAAATAGTGACAAAACTAATCACAAGATAATTCTTGTTTAAATATCCACACAACTAATGACCTCTTTTGGGAAAATATTCCTGCGTTATGTCTTCCCAATTCAGGTAGGATAATACTCTCATAGAACTTGTTTTAAAAACAGTCACTGTAAAGGCATTTGTAGTATGGAATTCAAAATGACATTATTGGGTGACCCCACGTTCTGCGTCAAGATAGGCGGAACAGATATAGGCATATAGAAAGTTCATCGTTAAGGATTTGAGAAAGAGTTATCACCGACTTAGTTCTCACACACTGGACACGATCGAGTTTTCCAGCATCCTTAAGAAGGCGTGTATCAACCGCTTTGGTTTAATACTTTGGTGACTGCTGCAATGCGATATGCAGGTGTTATTAGGTTTTGACTTGCTGTAACTCCCAAGTCAGATTTTTCAACCGCGTTCAATCGATATATTGTTTTCAGTACACTGGTACTCCCGCATTAACACACTCTTTCTACAATTAATTTCTAAGCACCAACTTGGAGACCATTCAATGAAATAGTCTAAGTCAAGTTGAATATTAGCACGATTGATATCAATACTTATTGTCCTCCAGATTTTGACACTATCTGCAGGCAGTGGTGTTGATGACTTAGGCAGTCACAGTAATTCGCTGAATTAGGGGGAAAAGCAAAGGGCCTGAGGTGGGCTTCATGGGTACACCACCTTGAACAGATTTCAACTCAGATAGTATCTCGTTCACTAATACCGTCTGTCTTAGGCTTGAGAAGTGGTTTATTGCCTTTTATTGTACAACACTTGTAATTCGGAGGCTAGAAAGCCCCTGTAGAAGCCATAATTGAAAAATCTTATCCAACGTCGTGCTGAAATCTATGTATATTATGTTAGGAGATAAAAATCATATTGCCCTATTGTCCGATCCTCTCTTGTCATTGGCAAGTAAAGATCGCACTCCTACTACTCAGAAGCTGAGTAACAAACAGTACAGTGGTTCTACATAGCGACCTTAAAACCGAAGAACAAAGACACAAGGACATGTGAGATTATAAGCTCTTAAATAAGCAAATTGAAAATGTGAAAACCACTTATAAGGTTGTGAGTTTATTACTCGTTGAAAAAAACTGTATACCTATAGTACTTCGTTCGTTTGTAACCTCTCAACACGTTACTTAATTTTGTAAATCACTCTGACCATATAATTCGTCGGCACCAGGGTAGACGCTAAGTAACCGAAGAGAGTACATACTTCAGCTCAACTGCTTTCGATTTCCTCACTCGTGTACACATGTCATCTGTAAAAATCTGTATACAGTCTCTTCATTTTTAAACTGTCTCCGCCCTAGAACATATACTTTGAGTTTAACGTGACCACTGTTTTTCTTTCTGTACTGTTTGACAAGTCTGTAGCTGTCCCTGTCAATAAAACCTTATCTGGTCAAATATTTACTGTTCTAGCACTTCGTAAGTGTTCTTGGGAATAAGTTCAACTTGTTATGCTTTTTGGAGTATTAAACCCATATTAACTAATTGTACTCAAGTGGTACAACTTAGTGGTAGTTACATATTTTTGGCTACTCTGTGTGAGATCTATTCAATCAAAACACCACATACATTTCAGTTACTTGTGCGAATATTTCTCGACCTAGTAACACTTGTCTTGTCCCATTGCAAATTAATAGTTTGCGATCTGTGACATTTCCTTTCCCTTACATATTAGGCACTTTAAGATAATGTACAAATTAGCAGAGATGGATAGTGGCTAGCAGTGGAATCCAGGACGCGCGTTTCGTTACATTTGGGACTCGTCAGCTGGATGTACCTGCATCTCAGATTTGATGTTCACTCTGGGACTCGAACTCAGTAACTTTCGTTTCAAGCGCCATTGCGTTATCCACTCAGCCATTGAGTCCTGATAGCCACTTGCTTGTGCGATGGGGTGAAGTTTAAATTCAGCTGGTATTGTTTGTTGGAATCTTCCCATCGGTTTTGTTAGGACTGCAACTGGTCAGTCTCTAATTAACATATGTGCATACTGTGCGTATTGCCTCGAAATACCTTAATTCACAAGCATGGTTAGCAGAGATGGATAGTGGCTAGCAGTGGAATCAAGGACGCTATCCACTATCCATCTCTGCTAACCATGCTTGTGAATTAAGGTATTTCGAGGCAATACGCACAATATGAGTCAGCTTCCAATTTACTGGCACCGTGCCTCTGCTTAGCGAATGCGAGAATATCATGCTAAGTGGTGTTGCCAAGATTGAAGCCGCTGCCCCAAGTGTAACAGAATGAACTATATTCGAGCCAGGAGAAGTGTCCTTGTCCTGATGCTTCAATTTATGATACGCCAGGTCAGTTCTCAGGATCACTTTCGAGAGTCCTTTTAAGTTATAGGTGAAGCCCTCATCGATGTTATTAGTATGTGACGGTTGAACGTTCGACGACACTGTTCTGTCAGATCGGCAGTGTCGCCGTTGTTGTTTGTTGGAACATTCAGTCAGTCAGCTACAACGTAGGGCCAGGCACACATATGCATCGGTCCAAGTTGCCATACCTCGTTAGCACAACAAGATGAACGCCGAATTCATAGTAGTTAATTTGGTGGTGGTAGTATATAAAAGATAGGTTGTATATAAAGATATAGTACAGGAAGGAAGAACGTTATCAAGCAATTTTAATCTCAAGGTTTAACGAAAGACAACAAGCGTCTACACCTACGCCATTGTGATCGATTCTGAGCCATGTCAGCTAGAGTCTCCAACCATTGGTTACGATAGTCACGCGGACCCCAACCTGGTAGTCTGGGACATTAAGACCTAACGATAAAGAAACACCGGTCTCGGCTTGTCGAAGAGAGGTAGCATGACGGAATAAGCTTTTCGGATAGCAGATAAATTCACTGAGTAGCTTTATCTGATACTGAAGGTTGTCTTTTCTAATCACAATTGTGCATTGGTTCCTTGCTTGTTTGAACTGCCTATATTTGCTGTTGTCACCAGTTCGTCTATATTCCGCCCAGAAGTGCCTTTTGCGTCTTGGCAATCGAAAAGTACAATTCTTGATGACTGTCTTTTGGGATCGTGGGTGGAACAGACTGCTTTGTAGCACATAAGGTCTGGTACAGCAAGAAATCCCATTGAGCGTTCACACCAAGTTGAGAGTGGGCTTCCCAGTCTACTTGCTATAGATTGACCTGTAAAGTTGGCACATCCGACGGTTTTTAGTACCAGCGTCTTTTGTTAGCGGAATGTTTAGCGCAAATTCCCTGATAAGGTTGAAGGTTACGGCCGAGTAATTACTTCTTCCCAGAAGAGCCAGGATTGAGAGGTTGTCAATTATGAATTATCTGCTATCAAATAAGCAGTCTTAGCGCGTTGGCGTCCGACTATTTCTCGGATGAGTTTCCGACTTGATATTTTCGAATAATCCCAAATCTTCAATGAGGTTGAAAAACCAAGTTTCAGTAGTTTTCACTGCAGTATACGTATGTTCCGCGAAGTTGATTTCAGGAAGATTTATGTCTCTAAGAATCAGGATATGAGTGAAACCGAGACGATTAGATTGGGATAATTATTCCACCAAATTATTGTCGTACTTCATATCAGCAGTGGTCTTCTTTTAAATGACTCCAACTTGAAACCTCGTGGTGCTAAACAAGCTTACTGGACACCATACGGATTAATCAAGACTGATAAACTCTTGGTTGTTCAATCAACATACCTCCAAGGCAGATCTCATGTATAAGGCTACTCCGTCCCCTATTCTTTGACGTGAAATACTGAAAAACCGAATAGTAAACTGAGGAAAAATCATAGTCAACGACTAACTTGAATAAAACTGAAAAGGAAAAGTAATCTACGGGACGTTAAGCTCACGAAAGATTCCTTGAGTGAAAAATGGTACTTAAGGACACAGCAAAAGCTTGGGAATTGCAAATCACGTCAAGACTAAAATTCCCATTCGTAAAGCGTGCTCGTGAACTGTTCTAAAAGACAGTTTTGAATAATTCTAAAGTCAGCCAGCCAGCTGCTCTGTAAAAACTTCAACATCCGCAAAGTCACATCAGCAAAAAACATCAATAGCATCACAAATAGTGATACCCACTCCCTTTTCAATAGTGGAAAATGAAGTACTTCAGTATCACATGAGAACTTCTAGGATGTAAGTGGTGGATGAAATGTGGTTTTTTTCAATGTGAAATTTTCTTCGCTACCAACAAACCTCACTTGTAATCCTTACTTCGATTTTTTTAAAAACAACTGGCCAATTATTTTGGGCAAACTTTGAAGCTTGAATAAATTAGTGCAATATTTTAAAATTCTCATTACATCAAGGTCTTTAATCAAGCTGCAACAGTCGTAAGTAATTGCGTTCGTAGTTGTGCTTCTCGGCCTATGAGTTGCATTTAAATATTTACAATTTAGTTGTTTTAAATAAATTCCATATAATACAGTTGGGTGAATAGTCTCTCTCTCTATATATATTCTATATAATCGCAGGCATCAAAAAGTCGAAGCAGATAAAATAAAATGACCTTATTCTAACCAATGTTGGAGACTCTAGCTGACATGGTTTTCTTGCTGTACCAGACCTTATGTGCTACAAAGCAGTCTGTTCCACCCACGATCCCAAAAGACAGTCATCAAGAATTGTACTTTTCGATTGCCAAGACGCAAAAGGCACTTCTGGGCGGAATATAGACGAACTGGTGACAACAGCAAATATAGGCAGTTCAAACAAGCAAGGAACTAATGCACAATTGTGATTAGAAAAGACAACCTTCAGTATCAGATAAAGCTACTCAGTGAATTTATCTGCTATCCGAAAAGCTTATTCCGTCATGCTACCTCTCTTCGACAAGCCGAGACCGGTGTTTCTTTATCGTTAGGTCTTAATGTCCCAGACTACCAGGTTGGGGTCCGCGTGACTATCGTAACCAATGGTTGGAGACTCTAGCTGACATGGCTCAGAATCGATCACAATGGCGTAGGTGTAGACGCTTGTTGTCTTTCGTTAAACCTTGAGATTAAAATTGCTTGATAACGTTCTTCCTTCCTGTACTATATCTTTATATACAACCTATCTTTTATATACTACCACCACTAAATTAACTACTTTGCGCCCTAGTAGTGCAGTAGGCTAGCGCGTCAGTCTCATAATCTGAAGGTCGTGAGTTCGAGTCTCACCTGGAGCAGGCTTTTATAGCTCCTAAATGCCCTGGTTCGGCCGAGAGTGGGGAGAGTCACCTCTCCCTCTCGAAATGCTCTCATATGGCCAGCGAATATATAGCCTCTACCAGGGAAGTCCTACTCACTGCCTTCTCGTGGCGGGGGTGTTGTTTACGAAAGTGAGAGGACGAAAAGCGAAAGTCCGGCGGTTTAACCGGGTTGGTGGACATGGAAAGTTCACCTAGGGAAGTTGGAAAATCCTGATTCCAAACCAGTGGTGCACATGGGCTCCAGTACTCTGAGGGAACAAATGGCGTACGAATCAACCGTTGATCATCGGCTACCATGGGACTGCATCCCCTCACGATGCTCCACTGCCTTGTAGATCAGATATTCAGGTCAAAGGCTCCGGGTGTGGCCCCCTAAGAAAACCACCTGCTTCAGTCTGGGCACCTGGGCAGTATCACAGCCCTCACACAAATCTAATGAGATTTGTGAGGCGCATATGTATCTGGTGCTTCCTTGTACCAATATTTGTTTAAATAAATGAAAACCACCAAATTAACTACTATGAATTCGGCGTTCATCTTGTTGTGCTAACGAGGTATGGCAACTTGGACCGATGCATATGTGTGCCTGGCCCTACGTTGTAGCTGACTGACTGAATGTTCCAACAAACAACAACGGCGACACTGCCGATCTGACAGAACAGTATCGTCGAACGTTCAACCGTCACATACTAATAACATCGATGAGGGCTTCACCTATAACTTAAAAGGACTCTCGAAAGTGATCCTGAGAACTGACCTGGTGTATCATAAATTGAAGCATCAGGACAAGGACACTTCTCCTGGCTCGAATATAGTTCATTCTGTTACACTTGGGGCAGCGGCTTCAATCTTGGCAACACCACTTAGCATGATATTCTCGCATTCGCTAAGCAGAGGCACGGTGCCAGTAAATTGGAAGCTGACTCATATTACATTGACTTTCAAAGTAGTTCGACGCAGCGAACCTTCAAGCTACTGACCGGTAGCACTTCTCTCAGTACCCTCGAAAATCATGAAGTCCCTGATATGCGACGGTATACGTTAATAGGCCGTTGTCCCCTCCTTACACTTTATATTGATTATAGCATTAGGGTGCTACAGCACTTTGTACACTTCCAATTCTGCACAAGAACTACGGATAGGCTGGAAAAGCTAGTTAGTAATGTACCATGACTATTGAGGGACTTAATATCCCGAAGGAACCAAGAATCACCAATCTATCAGCGTTTTCATGTTTAAATACTAACGATAATTGAAAATGTTATGTTTTATGTACTAATTTTAGTGCTTGGAATATCTTTCTAGGCAAAATGTTGTAAATAATACAAGCTTCGTAATAATCTACTGATCTATTCTACTGCAATGGAGGCCCTTAGAAGAACACAGGACGTCTTCGAAATCGAGAGAAACATAGTTGGAGAACCAGAAATAAAAAATCTGATGTTGGATCTTGAAGACTGGTTCAGTGTAATAGTAAAATCTGAGAATATACTGAGTTGGAAAAATCCTCGATCAACATTGCTTGTAATATTTGCAATCACTACTTTGTTTTTGCTGGTTCACGTATACGAACCACCAGTCCTGTTTGTTATGGGTTGTTCAGGATTGGTTTTAAGCTCAATAGATTACTTCGGACCTTTAGTTTTGTCTAGGTAAGATCCACTTATCAAATAATTAACTAAACCGCAGAATGTTCAATAAGCCTCCAAGTTACGAAGATCACTGGTGTTATTGGAATTTTTGTAGACGTCTTGTCCACATGCGTCATGTACTGATAAACTTCTTTGTTTTTGTGCATAGAGTTCGATATAGAAACGCGACTCTACATTTCTTAACTAGTTCATCTCTTTTGTGCATAGTTGGATTTGTTGGAATACATATTAGTGATTTGTGTCTGGTTTATCTCTTAATACTCATTTGCTTCATCGCACCAAATCTGCATCCTAAAGGAATATTAATGGTAAGATTTTTCTCAATCTTTAACTTTTAGAAAGTAAGCCTAAAGGCTTCGGTTTGCACTTAACGATTAGTTAAGCAGTTATTTACCAATCAATCAGACACACCATAGACCCACTTAATTGTTAACAAAAAACCAGATCATCCCGATAAGTACATTCACAAGACTCAACTAAAGTTTCACAACATGTATTGATCGTAACGAAATCCATTCATCATACATGATAACTAAATTGCCTTGATTCTCAAAATAAAACCATATTGTCAATACATATGTAATAAAAATGAATCTATCTAGATGCAAACTTGAGCCATGTGTTTTGATTATATAGTAAGCATGAATTGTTAATATAGTGAATTAACACCAATCGGTAAAGATGTGATTAATACATACACGACGTGAGCGCATAACCATCATGAGCAGTGCGCTTATTTTCCGCTAATGAACAATTTATACGATACTTGGTGTCAGCAGTGCATAATTAGTCACATAATTGGCTAAGCGCAGTTTTATTTATGTGGCTCTGAGAGGCACTCGTATGAGGCCAATAATGCTACCCAACCAACAGAACATGAAATATCTGTTAGTTAAAAATGCTTTCAACACTAAGCCACTGTATCTATATAACAGCTATGCTACCTAATAATACACCCTCACTTATGACTTGTTGAACAGTAATGCTTAGTTGTGCACACTTTTTCACCACACATATGACCATCATCATATAGTTGAAACTTTAAAAGTGATGAATCATTGGTAAGATCCAATAATGATCACTGAGTATTAGTTTGGATATTTCCATTCATGGTACATTCTAAGTGGTTGGTTGTGAAGAGATTCTAGCAGCACACTTTTCCTGAAGTACATTCTAATGATTCTGTCTGAGAAGACACCGGAAACTCCAAGACGAAATTACCCAGCTTAAAGCACGACTGCAAAGTCCTCCTGAACTACAAATATTCACCATCACAAAGTCCCTCTAACCTTTTTAAAACAAACCTATGATTCGTGGGAGTTCCAAATGGAGATTTATCGTGGTTTGTTGTTGTTGAGAAAACATAAGCAACCAAGTAACAATATGTAGTAGAATCTTTTGAGGTCATATCACACCAAAAATTTTGATTCTAATTCACAGTAAATACTCTGCGTTATCAAAGCTAACATCATTGTTCTTTTACTGTTCAAGGATGCCACCAAGACTAAAATTTTAAGACTCAACAGTCGCAGTTAACGTGACTTGTCTTACCAACTCTAAATTAAGAAGATTCGGCTAAATTTACCTTATAAATTGTTTGAACCGAGTTTAAAAGCTTTTGGACAATTGTGAAAGGTGTGACGTCTTTTCATTTTACAGGTCATTGTTTGGATCCTCTGGTATCCTATAACTATTCTCCGGTCTTTTGCATCAAAGTTTCGGCCACGAATACCGAAGTTTTTAACCCGGATCCTGCGTATATCAAATAGAAACACTGATAAAGACCAGTGACACTATTTTCTTATTTATTATTAATCTCATAATGCTTCTTTTTCTTTAAATATTGTCCAATATGTCAGTAAGTCATTTCAATCAAAGTTACTGGTCACATAAACTAATTTGTACATTGTCTTAAAGTGCTTAATATGTAAGGGAAAGGAAATGTCACAGATCACAAACGATTAATTTGCAATGGGACAAGACAAGTGTTACTAGGTCGAGAAATATTCGCACAAGTAACTGAAATGTATGTGGTGTTTTGATTGAGTAGAAGTCACATAAACCGTTTCTGTTACCTTGACGTGGTGGTCGGGTTTGCCTATCGTGATGAAGGGATCGAGCTATACTGGCTGGAACAATCGTTCCTCAAGGTCCTACCATGCCAGGTAGGTCGGTTGAATAGCGGTAAGACTAAAAGCAGCAAACCCAAGGTCCGAAGGCGAAGTCGTAATGCTGACTGTACAGAGGTGTGACAGCAGTAAGGTGTTTCCTTCAAACAACCAGCATGACGGCGATGCTGCCTTCCCACAAGGAGGGGTGGGGTTAGAAAAGGTCGACCCTAAAAATGCACTTTTCGCCTTATCCCACGGATTTCCGCAAAACACTGTCCCAGGTCTACTATACGCTCGCTCCAAACTACACATTGGAGCCTTCAACGTACGTACCCTATGCTAAATCGGTCAACAGGCCTCATTGGCTAAGACCCTAGAATCTCGTGCCATCGATGTATGCTGTGTCTCCAAAACACGCATACAGGATCCCAGTGTGGTCATTCACTTGACCTCATCTCGCCAAAATGGAGAGCCAACGAAATACACCCTCCGTGTATCTGGCGACCCCATGACTAATTCTCGTGGATTTGCAGGTGTAGGCATAGCACTAAGTACAAGGGCAGAACAGGCACTACTATAATGGATCCCCGTTAACAGTCGCCTGTGTGCTGTCCGGCTAAATGGCTCCGTAAGAACTCGGAAGGACAGAGACACGCGTCGTTGCCTTTTCGTCGTTTCTGCTTACGCTCCCACTGACTGCAGCCATGATGAAGTAAAAGATGACTTTTACAGAAAGCTCTCTGAGCTTCTTCAGAAAGCTAAGCGCTCAGACATAGTAGTCGTAGTGGGTGACTTTAATGCTCAGGTAGGCAGTTTAAATCAAACAGAAAGACATTTAGGTGGGTGTTTTAGTATTCCGGCTCAACGAACCGATAATGGTGATCGTCTGTTGCAACTATGCTCAGACAATCGTTTGTTTTTAGCAAACACTAACTTTAAACATAAGGAGAGACATCGCCTAACATGGCGACCACCTGCACCAAACCAACGATGGACTCAAATAGACCATATTGCCATCAGTCATCGTTGGAGAGGCTCAATAGAAGATTGTCGCTCGTATTGGAATACTTCTTTAGACTCTGATCACGCCTTAATACGAGCACGCATTTGTCTGCGCCTCACTGGACGCAGGAAAAGTACACTAAGAAGACCCATTAGGATTGAACTGGAGGACGAGAAAGCCAAATCCGAATTCCAGAAACAACTGAGTTCACATCTAGGCAGTTCTGTAAACGAGACTGACCCAGATGCCGCTTGGAAAGACATACGAACAGCTGTGGAAACAGCAGTGACATATATTAGTAATTTAAACCATAGGGTTCCAAAAAACCAATGGATTTCTTCTAAGCCTATTTCACTGATGGATTCGCGTAAACTCATCCCATCAGGCTCTGAACATGACGAAGATTGTAAAGAAATTAGATCTAGGTTAACTAAAAGTCTAAGGAACGATCGTGAGCAGTGGTGGGCAACGAAAGCAAAAGAGATGGAAAAGGCAGCGGCTGTAGGCAACACCAGGCAACTATTCAGACTAATAAAAGAAACCGGAATTAAGAAGTCAAGTGTAAGTGAAACGATCTTGGAAAAAGATGGAACCCTTATCTGCTCTCAGCCCAGACGTTTAGAACGATGGGCAGAACACTTTAAGGAGCAGTTCAGCTACTGCACAACTACCCACTATTCCCAGACAGTCTGAATGGAACATTGAAGTAGGCCTCCCGACCCTACTTGAAGTTTAAAAGGCTATAGGTAATCCGAAACGAGGAAGAGCAGCTGGTCCAGATGGATTGGCTCCAGAGGTCTTTAAATATGGTGGTCCAATTTTAGCGATTAGGTTGACTAATATTCTGGCTAAAATCTGGGAGACGGATGTAATCCCATCCGACTGGTCACAATCACTGATCGTCCCAATATATAAAAAGGGGTCAAAATCATCCTGCGATAACCATAGAGGGATTAGTCTGACTAACATAGCATCTAAAATACTAGCCTCAATAATTATCAGGCGCCTAACTAAGACTCGTGAACTGCAAACACGAGAAAATCAGGCTGGCTTCAGTCCTGATCGTGGCTGTATCGACAACATATTCACTATTCGTCAAGTTTTAGAGCACAGACATGTTTATCGGCGTCCGACAATGATAGTTTTTCTTGACTTGAAAACAGCATTTGACTCTGTAGACCGAGAGGTTTTGTGGCAGTGCCTGTCATTAAAAGGTGTACCTGAGAAGTACATAAACCTTTTGAAGGCTCTTTACTCGAACACTACCAGTCGAGTGAGAGCGTATGGCGAACTGTCATCTGATTTTACAACCTCAAGTGGTATCCGACAAGGTTGTCCACTATTCCCATTTTTGTTTAACTTTAATATAGACCTATTGCTAGAAATAACACTCTCTTCGACTGAATTTTCAGTATTTGATCTCCTACCAGGGGGTCCACTAATCGACTTAGATTACGCAGATGAGATTGTCTTGTTTGGTGAAGACGCTGGCGAAATGCAGTTTTCTGTTAAAAATGAGTAACAATGCGAGGATGTTTGGGATGCGTTTCTCCCCATCTAAATGTAAATTGTTACTCCAGAACTGGCCTGCGTCAACACCTGAACTAAGGATAGGGAGTGAAGTAGTCGAACGCGTCGACAACACTTATCTTGGAAGTCTGATCAGCCCTAATGGGTTGGTGTCTGACGAAATTTCAGCACGGATTCAAAATGCTCGTTTGGCTTTTGCCAACTTACGTCACTTATGGCGAAGACGAGATATCTGTCTATCAATTAAGGGACGAGTATACTGCGCAGCACTTCGCTCTGTTATACTTTACGGCTGTGAAACATGGCCATTTAGAGTAGAAGATACTCGTAGGTTACTGGTATTTGACCACAGATGCCTTAGAAATATTGCTCGCATCTGCTGGGATCACCGGGTAAGTAATAGTGAAGTTAGACGCAGGGTATTAGGGAATGATGGTAAATCAGTTGATGAGGTCATGAATCTTCATCGACTTAGAATGGTTAGGCCATGTGTTGCGTATGCCTGAACACCGATTACCACGACGCGCTATGCTGACTGGTGTAGGGGATGGTTGGAAGAGAGTTAGGGGCGGCCAAACCAAAACGTGGCATCAGTGCTTGAAGTCATTAACTTCTAGTCTGAGCCATGTTGGCAGACGCAGACTACTTGGTTGGGGCCCGCGTGACTATCGTAACCTATGTTGGAGACTCTAGGTGACATGGTTCAGAATCGATCACAATAAGATTAAAATTGCTTCATATCTATCTTCCTTCCTGTACTATATCCTTATATACAACCTATCTTTTATATACTACCACCACTAGATTAACTACTATGAATCCGGTGTTCATCTTGTTGTGCTAACGAGGTATGGCAACTTGGACCGATGCATATATATGCCTGATCCTACGTTGTAGCTGACTGACACAGAATAGCCAAAAAATATGTAACTACCACTAAATTGTACCACTTGAGTACAATTAGTTAATATGAGTTTAATACTCCAAAAAGCATAACAAGTTGAACTTATTCCCAAGAACACTTACGAAGTGCTAGAACAGTAAATATTTGACCAGATAAGGTTTTATTGACAGGGACAGCTACAGACTTGTCAAACAGTACAGAAAGAAAAACAGTGGTCACGTTAAACTCAAAGTATATGTTCTAGGGCGGAGACAGTTTAAAAATGAAGAGACTGTATACAGATTTTTACAGATGACATGTGTACACGAGTGAGGAAATCGAAAGCAGTTGAGCTGAAGTATGTACTCTCTTCGGTTACTTAGCGTCTACCCTGGTGCCGACGAATTATATGGTCAGAGCGATCTACAAAAAAGTAACAAAGAGTAGATTGCCATAAGGTTGTGGAGATTGTTAGATCTTCACAGATTACATTACGCGTTGACCTTAGACAAACAAATGGTCTCCAAACGCGATGATATTTAAGGCAAGCAACACTGATTTAATGCAACATGCTCTTGTTTAAATCAAGTGTAGCATAAAAGATGATTCAACTTTTTCAAACGATAAACTACCTTTTTTAGTTTGAGGCTTATTTTTTATTAGTGCCAGGTATTCGTTTTCGACTGCATTTTCACCATCGTTTTCGACCACTTTTGAAGAATTTCTGACCGGCTGTCTTTTTTGAGCGATTGAGGTGAACCAGTGCCAGATACCAATTAGAATTGCTATACTCAAGGCAATTACTAAGATAACCAAGAAAATCATTTCAGTGTCTACACCTTCTTCGATTTCAAATAACTGCAGGGAACGATTACAAAGTATAAATAACTCACGTTAACAGTTTGATTAAATAACTTATGAGCATAATAAATGTCATTATTGTCGTGATAGTAAACAACAATAGACAGGTCAAAAGATCGGCCAGCTAATTCGAGAGCGGGTTTGAATCTGTAATAAAGGGAAGTCTAGAAATCTTTTGGTAAACGGAACCAAACAAACCTCTTGACCGGGTTCTAATGTCTCATGGAGACGTTGCTTGGTAAAGTTCTGAATGTGATAGTCATAGTACATAGGATAGTGAAGTGCCCCTTCTATAAAATCTAGTTTGAATTGTTCACCGTTTGTCGGATTGGCATTAACCAAGGAAGCCACAAGGGATGAAAATTTTCCGACAGGCAAGTTTATTTCACGACGTCCAGAGTAAAGACCGTAGGGAGGTTTACTAAGGGCTACCAAGATATCAACGGCTGGAGATCCTTTGAATCTATCATCTTCCTTTGTTACAGAAGGTAAAAGCGTGGAGTCTTCTTCCGACAAAATAGTTGCGTCTTCAGCAAAAGAACTAAGTACTTTAAAGTAGAAAGTTAATAAATAGAGTCAGAGATTCAAACAAGACGTATAAGTTATAAATATTGCCTTGATCACGATCAGATAGATATATCGGCGAGACTAAAGAACATGGACGACCTTTGAACGAATCTTAAATGACCTTGAGAAATATTGGCCAATCAGAAAACAGTTAGCATACAATAAAAATATATTATACAAAACTCAAAAATTAAAGGGGATACTGTTCTTTTACATGTATCAAAAACTTATCAAGGTCAGATATAGGTTCAGAAGTTCTAAAATCATAGTGCATCCGGCACAGGAACTCATCCCTGAGGCTCCATATTAGTCGACATCTGGAACCATGATAAAGTCCCGAAAATTCTTTCAGCCTCAACCACATAGTTTCAGTGTTGTCGGTATGTTGTTATGGTTTAGGGTTAAAGATGAGACTATAAATAATGGACGACATTTGAGCGACGCTAGAGTGAATCTGAGTGTCAACATAATAACTAAGACTAAATGAGGGTTATAAACCCGTGTGAAGAATTCAAATTATGATTTACAGTTCATGGTTAAGGTTATGAATTTTACTTAGGGTTTTCATCACGAACTGACATCAGCTATAATGCCACAACTCAATCCAAATATATAATTGAATTTTGCGCCAAAACCTAATGGTAACATATCTTGTAGTCGCTTAATTATCATGTTTTCTCTAAAATACTTTGTAAACTGACCGTACGTAAGCGTCAGGTACCGAACTTAGCGCTGTGACCTTGAAAACCCGCGAAAGCTTCTGATTGGCTCGTCCATGTTCTTTAGTCTCGCCGATATATCATATGGTAAACATTCTGCATTAGTCCCAAAAGTAATAATCTTTTAAATGTTTCACGGATGTTCATACCACAGGTTAATTGAAGTTAGAGAGTCGATACGATAGCAATACAATTTTCCCTAGTACTTAAACATTTATACTGATGAGATCAACTAAACGTTCTCTAGGTCGGTTTGGTATGATACTTTTAATCTATCTGGAGACGCATCGAGCATAGTAACACTTAATAGCGTCAGCGAACAAACTGGGTTTTCTAGTAGTACTAAGAAGTTCCTAGAAGCAAGGCTAGGGACAATACGGTCGAACAATTCTACCATCTGCACGGAAAAGATGAAGTAAGACGGTGTGCATACTACTTGATCTATGATGTTACTCAAAAGCACATTGCCATTTCGCCTAAAAAGGTTGCTAGAATAAACTCAAAGGGTGTAAAAAACCAATGGAAGTGTTATGACAATATGGCCAGCAAGTACAACCCCAACTCTCTTTATGAAAACCTGTAAAACACTGCAACCTCTGAATTTATTTCAGACCTCTTACTTTTATTTATGTCTTATAATTTAAAAGGACAATTTTGGAAAGTCTAATAAATTTAAGTCTGGAGTTTTTTTCAGACTTAGTCTTGAATTACTGCGATTTTAAGACATAATATGCAATATCAGAAGCACTTTCAGTGCATTCAAAGCGGGAATTAACATGGATGACTTGATCACCTGCCCTTATCCTAGAAAACTGGGACGACAAGTTACAGAAAGTCAACGTAGTTATCAATACCATTAACTGATCCTAGTTTTAACAGCAAATATGGGGGTTAGTGAGTAGTGTATAAACGTCTTGGCAGTGATATATAAATAACTTACAATAATTGCTGTATAGAAGTATGAACCATGAACAGTACGCAACCTTACAATACATGCTCGGACTACTGCATCGAAGGACGTCACCAATACGTGTCGCAAGTTTATTAATTGACCGATTAAAACAAACTAGCATTTGCTTGTGGATGAGTTTCTACTTATTTAAATTCATAATAAAATGCTATTACTCAAACTCTGAAATAAATTTGCAAACATTATTCAGCGCCAATATTAACTTCTTGTCAGTGAGAATGTCGTACGCCTATCTATTTAAGTATATAATTATAGGAGATACAGGTAACTATAAATTACCAATCCCGATTATTTAAATTCATCTTATGTGATGGGCTTTCATCACACTAATCCGTGCATTAAAATCAGTGGTCTAATTGTGCGTACTGAGCTTCTACGTTGGTTAAATTATGTAGTTGACATATTCATGGAACTAATATGCACTTACTGTGTAACATTTAGCGTAAAAGATTTGAGAGTTCTCCACACATTCTGATTTGCTTTTTATGCCGCAATTAGTATCTGCACACATATGTTTATGTAGAAAATGTGACGAATGTAATCAGAAATAACTTAGCAATGAGCAGAATATGGTTTTAAATCCCATACCCGCATACTCAACTTCTTCGCAAACATCTCTCGGTCAGGACTTAGTGTCAGATATCTACTTACATTCTTTTACTCTGTAAAAAAACCCAAGTGTAAAAGCTTACTAACATTACGGAATGATAAATAATTCCATTCCATTGAAATCCATCGGTATAGCACTAACATATTGATAAAGGCTTAAGGATCTTATGACTCAGTGACTTGTGGTTTTATTAGGTCCAGGTGGAAATACGGCTTCCTAAATGAAGAATAGGTATATATTAAATGCGTTTTTCGCTTGCAGTACAATGTAGCACCTGGAGTCATTCCTGGGTTACTACAGTTCTTAAGCTCAGATAAAGTAAGAGAGTTAAGCATGGAGTTACCAAACGCGTTCCGTAGGAGAAAACGTTGCTGGAAAAACGCTAACTAGATAAACGATTTGAACAATGATCCTATGTATCGAAACAGTCAGGAAAACGTTATTGACTTCGCCTACAGTACTTTAAACAGGAAATGTCTGTAAAAAATTGAGCTGTATATTATTGTGCGCGTCCAGAGAGTGGGTTTGGTCCTATACTGAAGTATAATTACAAAATCGTCGTAAGTTCTGAATTCCAACCATTAAAAAGTTTAAGACCTGATAGAAATGCTAGAGATTCTACCCCTTTTCAGTCTTCAGTAATAATGATAGTAGGTTGATGAACCTGTGTTAATCCTGACAGATTTCCTTCCAGTAAAGGTCCAGCTTCTTCTTGAAAATGCTCACTGATGGTGCTGATACCACTTGTTCTGGTAAAGCGTTCCAGTCATTAACCACTCGATGAGAAAAACGGGACCCCACCTTTAGTTTATTAGATCGCGGTTTTAGAACCTTCTTGCTATGACCTCGGAGATTATTAGTGCTGAAGGGAGCAAAAAGATAAGACATATTAACACCCAGATTATAATTAAAGATACGAAATGCCAGTATAAGGTCACCTCGTGTCCTACGATAAGATAAGGGGAAAAGGTCTAGACGTTTTAAACGCTCATCGTAAAGGAGTTTAGAAAGACCCTTTACTAATTTTGTCCCTACACGCTGGACACGCTCAAGTGATTTAGTATCCTTTATCAGACAAGGGCTAGCTGCTTGGATACAGTATTCTAAGTGTGGCTTTACATAGGTGGGATATAAAATTCGAAACATATCCTCGTTGAAGCATTTAAATGCTCTGCGAAGCGACCATAGCGCACGATAGCCTTTGGAAGCAACCGCATTGCAGTGCGTGGTAGTTTTCAAGTCGTAACTTATAATTACTCCTAAGTCTTTGTGCTCTTGAACGCGTGGCAGAGATGTACCATTAATGGTGTAGTGGTAACTAATATCGTGCCCAATGAGCATGAACACGCTCTTCCTGGAATTAACTTCCAGGCCCCAATCATGAGCCCACCTAACTAATTCGTCTAAATCTGCTTGCAGATAACAACGATCAGTCTCATTTCTTATTGTTCTCCAAATTTTAACATCATCCGCAAACAATAATGTCGACGACTTAAGTAATAAAGGTAGTTCATTAATATACAGAAGGAAAAGTAAAGGGCCTAAGATGGTGCCTTGGGGTACACCACTTTTGACCGGTTTCCATTCGGATAGCGTTCCATTGACCCTTACTTTGTCTGCGGTCACATAAGAAGCTTCCTATCCATTCCTGTATAGCACCTGTTATTCCAAAGCTCGAGAGCTTTTGCATAAGACCTAAGTGTGAAACCTTATCAAACGCTTTGCTAAAATCCACAACAGAAGGGTGAATTCTAAAATCAGAGTACTGTTGTTTCAAAATGAGTTAGGTAGTTGGTCGCTTGCACTTACTGTACCGAGTTTTCACTTTGGACACAGCTGATGACAATTATTCCCCCACGATTATCATATGCACCACTTAGGTCATTTTGCACGGAACATAGTTCTCCATGAAAGAATAATAATAACGAAAGGAAAGGTAAATAAAAGTAGCGATATCGTGTGGAAAATATCCTTTTGTTTGAAGCGCATAGGATGTCGGCACAAATTGGCTACAGCAGAGCCTAAGGATATCTGCTTAAGATCAGTCACAAATGGTGATTTTTAAGAAGTTTCGTTTGTTTACGAATGTTCTTCACTTCGGAATCTAAAAAATTTAAATCAAGATGAAACACGCAGTTTTTATGTTCAGTCTTTCCTTACTTCCGTCAAAGTAAAATAACATTTTAGCTGGGTATATTTAATGCCCTAGAGAAATACCTTCCTATCGTCAAACTTTTTATGATCACCAATATGACTTTGGTTTCAACCAGTCATCATATTACGAATTATTTTATTAACAACAGTACCTACTTTTAGCCACCACTTTCCTGCCAAATTTCCTTGTATGATAGGACTCCAAGGAATAGATGTTTCAATCATAGCTGTAAAAGTCTATGTATTTGTACAACTTTCATCGCTTAATGAATAAAATTTTATCACAGTTGTCGGTTTATGTCCCCAAAAATCTACTGTGCTTGGGAAACCAGGATTTCCATTTCTTGCACATAATTTCGTGTGTTTGGTTTATTAAGTTGTTGGGGTTTATTTTCAGCAAGCACTAATTTTAAGCATAAGGAGAGACATCGTCTAACTTGATAACCCCATGCATCAAACCAACGATGTACTCAAATAAACCATATTGCCATCATTGTTGGAGAGGCTCCATAGAAGAATGTTGCTCGTTCTGGGATACATGTTTGGACTCCGATCACTATCTTCATTTTTGTTCAACTTTATCATAGACCTACTTCTGGAAATAACGTTCTTGACGTCTGAATTTTCAGGAATTGATCTCCTTCCATGAGGTCCACTTATCGACTTAGAATACGTAGATGATATAGTCCTGTTTGGTGAAGACACTGATAAAATGAAGTCTTTTGGTAGCACTGACCAACAATGCCAGGATATTTGGGATGTGTTTCTCCCCCTCTAAATTCAAGTTGTTGCTTTAGGACTGACCTGCATCAACACCTGAACTAAGGATAGGGAGTGAAGTAATCGAATGCGTTGACAACTTCATTCATTTTGGAAGTCTGATCAGCCCTAATGGGTTGTTGTCTGATGAGATCTCTGCACGGATTCAAAAAGCTGGTTTGGCTTTTGCTAACTTAAGTCACCTGTGCCGAAGGCAAAATATCCATCGTTCTGTTCTACTTTACAGCTGCGAAACGTGGCCATTAAGAGTAGAAGATACCCGTAAGCTACTGGTATTTGACCACAGATGTCTTAGAAATATTGCTCGTATCTTCTGAGATCACCGGATAAATAATAGTGAGGTTAGACCAATGGTTAGAGACTCAGGGTGACTTGGCTCAGAATCAATCACAATGGCGTAGGTTTATACACTCTTTGTTTTCCCTTGAACCGTGATATTAAAATTATTTTATACTTTTCTGCAAAATGATTCCTCCTGTACTATATCCTTATACGCAATCTTTCCTTTATATGTTACTACCATTGAACTAACTATTATGAGTTTGGTGTTCATCTTGTTGTGCTAATGAGGTTATTGCAACTTGAACCGATGCATATATGTGCGTGATCCTATGTTGTAGCTGACTGAATGGAGTTGTTTAGAATTTTTATTTAAGTTTTTTGAAGGTATTCAATCTATTTTAACATATGAACATTGCTTCAAATAAACACCGAAATGCACCACACGATAAAAAAATGTAACTGTGAAGAGATAGAAGAATAAATGAATGGAAGAAAATGAACAAAAGTAGTATGTGATGGGAGGAACTGTTTAGTGAAGAAAAATGCAACGACAAAGAATCCTACCAGTTGAAGAAGTTCATCTCAATTTGTTATGTGAAAAAATTACAACATTGCTCTAATAACTCCATGCTGTTAGCCATTTCCGATAACTTCAAATCACTAAGTTGCATCGTCTCTCGGACCCCAATCAGGGATTCACAATTGGCCGATAGATGCCATTTTTACACAACTATTTTTCATTCTGCGGAGTCATGTCTTTAACTGATCATCTCCGATCTTTTCAACCAATCCCAGCATCGGCAAATAATGCACGATATGGAAATTTCTTTACTGATCAACCCACCCAAGTCAGTGTTTCAAGATGGTGACACCCTTTAAGTTGTTATCATTGTACCCAGGATCATTGCCGAACAGTGGCATTACTAATACATTGTTGCTATCGGATGTCATCAGTCCTTTGGCAGCTGTGATAAGACAGCTTCCGAACGCCCTCAGCTCGGAACAGAGGTCAGGTCCCACAAGTTCAGAGCAGCACTTCTACCCCCGTTTTGTAAGTTCAACCTTTTAAAATCAGACTGACATCACGACGACATCGAAGATGATCTCTTCGTGATATGTAAATTGATCTCATTTTCCACACCACCACCGACTCGTATACATCTACCATGGTAAACGGACTTTTTGACTATTTTTGCGGTTTACCACATGGGACTAGTGCAGACATATGGTCCTGCAAGTCTTCCAAAAGTAGTTCACACTTCGATTATACAAAGTACA